ATTTCTGTCCAAATCTTGAGAAGAAACCTTAAAAATGAGACTATTCCTACTAACACCAACTCCAACCTAACTGACTTTGGATACATGGTTACAGAAGAATTACAATGTCAAGGTTCAACATGTCTACCAGGAGGGAAAATGGTATGTCAATTTTTTAGTGAACTAGCCTTTATTTGGCCTCTGGCTTATACTACCAGTATCATCCACCTACGAAACTCATTAATATCATAAAAGATGACACTATTGGGTTTTCCTGGCTTAGGATGTGTATTTTATAGTCCTTTCTTGTGTTTTGTTCATTCCTTGTAACAAAAAAAAAAACTTTAAAAATCTAATTTTGCTAATATAGATTAAATTAGGTAATGATTCTTATATATCTGTACAATAGAAATATAAAGCTACCATTTAAAAGAATGCAGGAATATAAAAGACTGCTGAAAAATAGAGATTTGAAATCCTAAATTTGTTGTTATGATTTAGGTTTTTACCAGTATGCCTAAATAGTTAAAAATTCATAATCTAAACCATGCAATCTTGATATAGAGAAAATTTATGATATGTAAATCATAAATATATTTGTTTTCTAGTTATCTCCCTTTGTTCTTCTTGTCCAGCAATTCTGCCTTTACCTCGATTACCCCTGCCTCGATAACCTCCTCTACCACGTGGTGGAAATAACAGATTATAATTTGACTCACTAGCTTATATGAATCAGCCATTATTTAAATTTATAAGTTGGTAACTAACATATCTTATTTGTTTACCTTTTTTTTATGGTATCTCTAATTAATCCTTTTTTTTTTCTTGTGGGCACTATTTTATTCTGCCTTACTCTGTGCACGTGAAATGATGGCTCTAGAAGATGGATTAGCTGATCTTATCTGGGAACTGAATAATCGCCTACTTGCTCTTTCATTCCACATCAGGGAGTATTGTTGGATTGATTTGCGAAAACTAAATGAGATTTATTGTTACAAGACTGAAAATACTCATATGATACGATTAATAAGTTCAACATTTACCTAGATCAAATATCTCCTTGGTAGGTGGAATGGATGCCTAATAAAGGAGGTTATCTAATCAAAAACTTACATCCAACACATATGGATTTTTGAATTTTTTCTCTAGGAAACATGTGGTATGTTGTAAGAAGTCTAGCAACAGCTGATCAGTCACATGCCATACTGGATCTTTTTAAAGCAAAATGGGTAGATTTGGTAGTAGACATATCGTTCAAGATATGTCATCTTGCTCTTGAAGTTCAGGAGTGGCAAATAATCACTGGTAGTGATCTTAAGAACATGTAAGATATTTGCTATCATATTATTTATTTATGATCTATTTCTTTATTATCTTTAGCATTTCTCACTACATTTCCTTCCAATGCAAGCCTTGGTCTTACCACAATGGTGGTTCTTGGCCAACTCTGTTATGGTAGGTTAGTTTGTTATGCTTAAATATTCACTCTACTGGTAATGGTTTGTTCATTGCTCTAAAGAACTGTTTGTTTTTAGGTATAAGTTTCCTAAGTTGTCATGCTTGAATTTAATAGGATATGACACCTTGTTGATGTTTTATAAAATAAAGCAATAATGAACAAATGTTGGCAGTGCGACTTAAGATTTTAAAAATGGACTTTTGGCAGCTTACTGTTGCAGCCATAAAGATGAAAAGACCAGAAATCATTGCAAAAGTTGTTGAAGTTGCTGAAAGACACGTATCAAGAGATAAGTGACCTGAATACTATGACACAAAAAGAAGGTTCATCTAGAAGCAAGCACGGTTATTCCAAACATGGTCAATTGCTGGATACCTTGTGGCTAAGCTTCTATTTGCAATCCCAAGTGCAGCCAAAATTCTGATAACTGAAGGGGCTTCTGAGCTTGACAATGCCTTCTCTTTCATGATAAGAAGAGTTAATCAACTGGTAATTGAGAGTGATGGAGAAGACAGTGTGTACAGGTGTATGTATATATATACAAAGTGAAATGACGGTTACATAGAGTGGAGTAACTGATAGTAAGTTGTTCACCATTTTCTTTCACGAGGAAACAAAATTGCAGTCTCCTACGCATATAACTCTCTGTTCTCTGATCTGTAAACCACTCATCATTCATAAACATTTTCTATGTCATGTGTTCATCGTTTCTTCCTTTTCAATTTTTTTTTTGTTTCTGGCCTTTTATGTTTAGAGTTAATTCATTCTTAGAAGCATTAATATATATATGTATCTACATATATATATAACATACATGCACCATTTTATGACATAATTACTAAACCATATTAGTATAGTATAGTATAGTATAGTATTAGAAGTTAAAATATTTGTATATGTATCTAATTGTCCCATTTACTTTAATTTCTAAACAAGTTTCATCATTTTCTTAAGAAATTTAATTATTACATTTCTCCCATATTTTATAATTTAATAATATATCACAATTTTAATATTTAAACTCTCTGATTTATATTTTTTGAAAACTGAATTCTAATTGATCTTCCTATGTATGAAGGATTATGAAATAAAATTTCATTCAAGCTAAAAATATAAGTGGTTCAAAAATAAAATTAATGAATATATATCTCATTCAACATGTAAATGATTATTAGTAATTACACAAAAAGTAAAAATTGAATCAAATGAACAAGATAGATTTAATACTGCTTAATGTAAGTACACGTATATATTTTTGGATGTATTTAATTTAAATTGTACTTTTATATTTTTTTTGTTATTTAGAGCAAAAAAGTAATTTGATAAAAAATCAAATATGTTATTTGAGTTGGTTTATGGTTGTTAGCTGAAATTTAGGAACTATTTGAAAAATATGAATCTTATTACGAATATACTTTATAATTACTACCTAATTGTGCGTTATGCATTAGGAAAAAAAATAGAGAACTTACCTTTATAATGCCTACATTCTAACTCTTGTTTTCTTATCTCATTTCCTTTTGTTTTTCCTCATTCTCCCAATTATTTTCTACTTTTTCATATTTTTAGATCACCTAAAATTGATCACATCGTAATAGAATAATAAATGTAAGGATAAGATTATGAAGAAATCATATTGTGGTAAAGAAATTAATAGAGCTAATGTTATAAAGAAACTAGTTTATTGTTTCCTATCTGAACATTGCATTATAGATATAAATTATAACATCAAAGATAGATTGAAAGAAAAGCCGAAAGCATCAAAAAAGAAAAAAAAAACTACATGTGTTGTAATCAAACATTTTGGAGTTAAAGTGTTGTAATAAAATATTTTCGAACTTATGTAATCAAAATTTTTAGAGTTTTAACATTATTTTCATTATGTTTTCTATAAAAAAACTATTATAAGATTAGATTTAAAGAATATTTAAATTTAGAGAATTGAATGCTTATTACAAGTCAAAGTTTAGAGATTTCTTTTCTTCATTAGTCTTTAAAATTTAAAAATTTGATTACTACTTAAACAATTAGAGATAAAAATCTTATTTTCAAAAAGTAAATATATAAATATATAATTATATTTAAGAAGATGTTATTAGTTTCTACCTTAATTATTAAAAGCAAAAATATTGATTGTGCCTCAATTATCAAAAGATATTTTGTAATATCTATTTATGTAATACCCAGGCCTGAAATTTGGACTGGGATTAATTTTAAAATAAAAAAATATATAAAAATATAATTTTATAAATTTTTTATTTAATATAAAATTAAGAAAAAAATAGGTGGAGGATGAAATTAAAAATAATTTTTAAAAAGGGGTGAAAATTTGGGTTTGAGAGGTATTTTTGAAAGAAAAAACGTAATTTATAAAAAATACGTCACGTAGGACCTGCCCAGTCAGCAGCCCTGACGAATCGAAGTGCACTGCGTGGTAAGGGACGCTGACTCGGTGCCACGCGGGAGTCCACACTGGCAATCTGCGTGCCTACGATTGGAAGGTAAGATGTGTTCTCGTGTGCGTGGACGGTCCAGATCCGTCCCCTGCTCAGGCGCGATCGGACGATCATAATTAAACGCGATAAACGGTTCAGATTCGTTTCTTCTTTAAATGCGATCGTACGGTCCAAATTAAATCACAATGAACGGTCCAAATTTATTTTTTCTTTAAACGTGATCGGACAGTCGAGATCTAACACGATGAATGATCCAGATTTAAGGAAGACGGGTATAAATATTTCACTTCACATCGAACCCTAATCTTAGCTGCCAGCCCCCCCGATGGAGAAGAAGACCCAGTTGCCGGAGAAGGGAGCCGACCCTTGCTGCGCCGAAGCCACCTCCGACCGCCAAAAAAGGTAAAAAATTATGCCATTCGCTTGAAATTTGATTTTAAACACCCCCATGGCCAAATTGGAACAAAAAGATCGGCGGATCAGTTGAAAACCGCGAGTAAAACCCAGCAGCACTGCCGTGGAAAAAAACAAAAAATTGCCTTTAATGAGCCCCTTTTCGATTCTTGTTTCATACGATTTTTTCACCATTATATTTACCATTCTGTTTTGTACAGATTGACCAAAGAAAAATACCCAACCGCGAAGGCGAACCGGCGGAGCTGCTACGTCGAAAAGTTCTGTCGCTAGTAAGTTTTTACTTTTCGACCTTTTTCAGCCACGATATCCCTTAATGTGTTCTCTCGTAGGGATGAGTATGAAACTGGTCAAAAATAGCCAGTCCAAGGCACGGTGGCGGTGCCGTCGTTGGAGCACGACGGTGCCACCGTGTTAGAATTTCAAAATTGGTCAGAAAAGGTTTTTAACTCCAATTTTGAGTTTTTTTTGGGTATTTCTAGGTATTTGAAGCGTGTTTTAATCTCTAAAGAAAAATTTAGAGAATTGGGGACCGCCAGCAGGTGTAGCTAAAAGTTAAGTATTTCGAACACCGATTTGGGTAAGAATTCCTCACCTTATTCCCTATTATAGAATTGAAGTTTAATTATAAATAATACGATATTTTGTGTTATTTAGAAAACTTCGATAATTTATTACAGGTTACTAATAGAGCCGGGATTGGTTATTTATTATTGTTTGTCTTGTTTTAACTGATTGGTTAATTTTATAGTTTTAAAAGCATGATAATACACTAAAATTGGTAAGATGATTCGGTTGTGTTTCCTTGATGCATGTATTGCTTGTCTTGCGTGATTTACAATTAAATTGTGAAATTGAAAAATTAAATATAAACGGGAATTGCTTGATTAAGTAGATGAATGAATGGTAGCCTTACTGGATATCTTGGGAGTGGTGGATGGACCGGGTACATAGAGAATCTTACTGTGAATGTCGCCTCATACTGGATAGGGTATCGAAGATTGGTATTTTGGCGCTCTTACCAAATGGGGTATTGGGACGGCCCGTTTGACCCTCATACCGGATGGGGTATTGAGAGATGGTATTTTTGGCGCTCATACCGGACGGGGTATTGAGGGATGGTAGTTTTGGCGCTCATATCGGATGGGGTATGGGGACGACCAATTAGTTAAAAATGTTGAATAATGATTCACGTGTAGTGGGGACATCTCTATGAACCTCAATGGATACCAATAGACAGATAAAAAGAAAAAGTTGTTGTTCTTACTTACTTGAATATGAGATTATGATGTTATTGAGCTATTATTCCTATAGGTCAGTTTTAAAAATCTAGCTACAGTAAGTATGCAATAAATAATTTTATTTAGGATAAATGAATTTACTTAAATTATGAGCTCCATTAGTTATTTTTATTATTTTTACCAACCTTCATTTCTGTATCGGTGAGCAGTGTGATATTCTTACTGGGATAGTGTAACTCACCATTTCATTAACTATTTCAGATCAAGAGGATCAAGATCCAGATCTCGATCAACAAGAGGGTTATGAATAGTTCACCATCCGAACCCCCTTCAAAGGCTAGTGAAGGTCGTCTTAGGATACCTAATTATTTACTTTTTATTTTTCTTGAATTTTCATTTGTTCTTTTAAAAGGTTCATTCCCATATCCTTATTAGGTATTCTAAATTATTGTGTAATGAATGTAAATCCTAACTCTATTATTTCGCTTCTGCATTCAATTTATAATTTATTTTCTTTTAAGTTTTGGGCTGTTATAATTTAATTTAGGGATTTCGTTGCCATCCTCAAAGGTTCTGATGGTTCCTCCTTCACTTTAAAAGAGGACGTCGGGCTGTAGAGGAAGAGGGAGAGGAAGAAAAGTTGCAGCTAGGGTAAATTGAGAGGAAGTTTTTGTGCGATTTTTCAATCAGATTAATCGGCTAACAATGTGATCGATGGAATCTAATCCATCAATTAGATTAATGCTGTCACTGAGAACAAAGGTAAGTGAAATTTGATTCTCACCATTTGAGTAGAATTTATCTTCTAAATTCTTTGAGATATTTTTGGGAAGAAATGAGTTGATCTGGGAATAGGGAAATTTTCTTGAAATCATATTAGAACTAGGAGTAAAAAAAAAATTAAAGAATGAGATCTAAGGATAAATAGAAGATCAGACGAAATGATGGAATTATTAAGTGGACAACTATGAAGAGAGGACAACAGAGATATGCTAGAAACATAGGAGAAAAATTGAAATGATGAGAACGGGAGAGGGATAGGAAATTAAAAAAAAGAGGAAAATAGTGGTTTGAATTTGATGTTTGTTTGGTAATTATTATTCTGTTATCTTTTGGATTTAATTCTCTTGATGTGTTCATTTAAATGCCTAGAAATGGTGGTATTGGTAACTTATGTGTGTTGGATACTGGTCTGCGTTTGGGTAACAAATTTGTGAGGTTGTTGGGCATGACAGAGGACTTCATAAGGAGTAAACTGGGAAGGTGATGAGAAGGAATGTGCATTGCAGAGAGTTTGAGAAAATGGAGAGAAGTAGTGAATGGGTACAATAGGAATGGTGTAGAAAAAGAAAAAAAAAAAGAAAAAGAAGGAAAAAAAAAGAATTATGGACACTAAGGAAGACAAAGGGTATTTCGGAGGGTCTGGAAATTATGAGAGAAAATAGGAGGTAGTGGGTAAAAATTATGAGAGAAAATATGAAGTAATGGTTAAACTGGAGGTAATGAAGGAAGGGAAATGAATTGGAAAACGATTAAAAATAAAATAAGTATAAAAATCTAGGAGCCGATTTGGGTGAGTAGAGACAGTGTTCT